TATACATTTTCAGATTCTTTTTCCATAATTTATATGTGTTTCCTTCTGTTTTAAATGAAGCCTTTCCAATACTATTTTAATAGAACATAATGAATTACTGTTATAATCACCACTCCATTTCTTGTCCCCATCTACTTTTTAAATGACTTACAACAAAGAAATAAAAATATTTTCACTATTTTCTTTTTTTTCCTAGGTATAAACAATACGTTTGGAAAAACTTTCAATAAAGCTGAAATTGATAAGGTTTTATTCCCCCAAATGAAAAAGAACTAATATCCTTCTTGGAAAAGTCTAAAGAAAAATACTAATGATTAAGCTATAGTAGAATAGGAATTCTGGCAACACTTGTTTCTAGAGTATTTGTAAAAAGTAAAAATAGGAATACTGTCAATTATTGAGTATTGAATAGTACATGACTGCTTCTAAGAAGTTCTAGAATGTATGGGTTGGAATATTGAAGTTAACAGATTCAGCTATACTAATAGAATACATATAGTTTTCTTTATATGACTGGTTTTTATCAATAATAATAAGAGCTTAACACAGTTTTAATACAAATCCTCACAACACCCCTGTGAGGTAGGGATAGCTTATATCTATTTTACAAACAGAAAATCAGAGCAAGAAATAATAATCTCAAAAGATACAATATAAATCAAGAAATTCTGGTTTTCTTTTGAGTCAGACTGCACTTATCAGATAGTGAGTTCTTATAATATGCTAATAAGGACAATTATTAAAATAGTCTGTTTTTCTCCAGGAAATAACTATGTGTAGAATCTGGAAAAGAGGGAAAAATTCTAACCTAATCCAAGAGGAAAATGTTTGTTTAATATTTGTCTGATACATTGATTAAGGTGCATATAGCACTTCCAGTTTTTAGTTTGGTAATAATGATGCAAACCATTATGTATGGCTAAAATTATTAGCTACATTTTACAGATGATTAGTCAACATTAAAGGGTTTAGCTGGAAGAACTTTTTTTATACAAAGTAAATCTTCTAAGTGAGAAATCATATCTTTAAAAAATACACTTAGGACACAATGTTAGTCATACCAGTTATTTTAAAAATATGCCTGTTGAACAAATGAAAACAAATTAAGTGGGTCAGTTCCCACATTACTATTCACTGGTTCTCCAGAACCCAGCTTTGGAGATTTTTTTTCTATAAAATGGAGTTAATATTTTTCCACTTCCTAAATCAGAAAATAGCATGAAGACTAAGGAAAGAACATTTGCTTTGAATTCCTAATAATAAAAGAAATACGTGAATAAGAATAAAAATACAGTTAACCACTATTTTCTCAACCCCCACAAATATAGATATGTTTCTGCTTTAAATTTGTCTATCATGGCCAATCAACCCCAAATAAACTCTTACCATTTCTCCAGACCCTGCCCTGAACTACTGCCCTACCCCACAACTTATATGCACCCCTAATCACATCCTTTAGATACAAACTTTTTGTGTCAAGGACCAATGACTGAGGAAGTAGTAAAGAACAGAGAAAAGTCAGAAAATGTATGAGAAACAATAAAAATGAGAAAAAAAAATAAAATTTTACTTGAAGATGGCTAAAGAATATATCCTAAATAGCCTAAAATACAGTGGGGCCTTGACTTACGAGTTTAATTCGTTCCGTGATGGAGCTCGTAACACAAATTACTCGTATGTCAAATCAGTTTTCACCATTACAATGAATTGAAATGCCATTAATCTGTTCCGGACACCCAAAAAACACTGCAATTGTTTTGTTAAATGTTTTCAAATAAGAAAAATGTATTTAAAAATAACGAATGCAGCCAGAACCAGTTTGGCTCAGTGGATAGAGCGTCGGCCTGCGGACTCAAGGGTCCTGGGTTCGATTCCGGTCGAGGGCATGTACCTTGGTTGTGAGCACATCCCCAGTGGGGGGCATGCAGAAGGCAGCTGATCGGTGTTTCTCTCTCATCAATGTTTCCAACTCTCTATCCCTCTACCTTCCTCTCTGTAAAAAATTAATAAAATATATTAAAAAAAGAAGTAATTTTGATAAAAACACAGGTTTGTAATTAAAATTGTAAATTTCTTATTGATTCATAAAGTATACAGTATAGGGTTATGTATGGAATAGAATATCAG